AATCCCAAAATACCCCATTTTGAAAATTATTTACCAATATGCCCCCTTTCTTGTATGGGCTCGTCCATTCATTGGACCAACTACCTAAGCCCACTACATGCTCGCCCATTGGAAGGACGAGCTAGTGGAGATTATTTAGCAAGCATGAGCTCGTCCATTGGAAGGACGAGCGTGTGTTAGTTTTGATTTTTTTTTTTTTTTTCTGAATTATATTTATGTATTATTGGATTTATTTATTTAAACATTTAATATTTATTTATTATAAGTAATAATAAAATAATAATATAAAATTTAATAAATAATAAAATTTTATTTTTTTTAATTCTTAATTTTATATATATTTATTTTTTAATACATTTTTTATTTATTTATTTATGAATTGTAAATAATAAAATTACTAATGTTTATTTTTATAAATAATAAAATTACTAATTTTAATTTTTATAAATAATAAAATTTTAATGTTAATTTGAATAAATAATAAAACTTTAAGTATAATTAATACGAAAAATAATGTTAATTTTTTTTTGAAAAATAAATTATTAAATAGTCATTGATTAAGTATACTTAAAGTTTTATTAAGTATTCAAATTAACAAATAAATTTTATTATTTATAAAAATTAAAATTAGTAATTTTATTATTAATTTGAATTAACATTAAATAGTAATTTTATTATTAATTTTATTAAGTTTTATTAAGTATTCAAATAAATTATTAAATAGTCATTGATTAAGTATACTTAAAGTTTTATTATTTATTCAAATTAACATTAAAATTTTATTATTTATAAAAATTAAAATTAGTAATTTTATTATTTATAAAAATAAACATTAGTAATTTTATTATTTACAATTCATAAATAAATAAATAAAAAATGTATTAAAAAATAAATATACATAAAATTAAGAATTAAAAAAAATAAAATTTTATTATTTATTAAATTTTATATTATTATTTTATTATTACTTATAATAAATAAATATTAAATGTTTAAATAAATAAATCCAATAATACATAAATATAATTCAGAAGAAAAAAAAATAAAAAAATCAAAACTAACACACGATCGTCCTTCCAATGGACGAGCTCATGCTTGCTAAATAATCTCCACTAGCTCGTCCTTCCAATGGGCGAGCATGTAGTGGGCTTAGGTAGTTGGTCCAATGAATGGACGAGCCCATACAAGAAAGGGAGCATATTGGTAAATAATTTTCAAAATGGAGTATTTTGGGATTTTTTTTTTCAAAAGGTGGCACTGGGGTAAAAAAATCCTTCATTTGCTCTTTTTTCTTATTTATTTTTGGCTAAATTCTCAACCAAAAGTGGCACAGTTTTGTTGATAAATAGGTATAGGGAAAATAGCGTAGAGTGTTATGTCATGCAATGCAATGTTGACATAAAGCATTGACAAAGTGAAGCTGGTGTTTGAGGGGCAGACAGGTTAAGGCGTGACATCAATTCTTCAACCGCATGCCTGCCTGATCCAGGCGGCGGAAACGTACTAACGTCGCCGCACTTTTTGTCTTTTCTATTCTTGTTTGTATATTGGTTGGTTTATATCTATACATAATACATTGGAAATCACACATGTTTTCTTTCCTTTTTCAACTCTCTTTTGGGTGTGTTCTTCTCAACAACAAAACAATTTTCAGATTTTTGGATAAACATTGTAATATCCTTGAGTCTTTATTGAATGTAATAAATTTATCATTCAATTAACTGATGTCATGTTTTTCTTATTGTTATTATTTAATTGATGGTTTGAGTATGAGAATAGGTTAGATAAATTCTTTAATTTGAATTTGGGCCAAAAAAATTTTCTTCTTTTTTCTAAATGTTTATTAAGGATATTAACCATCACAAGTGATTAGAGTTCGTCACACTATGGTTTCTTACTCAAATTTGCAATTTTGGAGTTAATGCATTTTTGTTTTGTTGGTTTTTTATCAAGAATCTTAAGATTCATGAAAAGGAACAAATTATTTGGAAATCATCTTAACTAGATAAATTTTATATATTTTATTGTGAAAGTTACGGTAAAAAAACAAATATAAGGATAGAGCACGACGAAAAGAGAAATATTAGAGAAAACTATAAAAGACATGTAAATTGTGGTGAAAGTCATCTTTGAGGTAATGCAAGAGTGTTTACTGCCCAGGACTAAGATTTTTTATGGTTAAACCCTAACTAAATAGAACTATATAAAATCTTTCTCATTGTTAAACCATGGTTAAATAAGGCATCTAATTATTTTTGTTGTGGTTGAACCATGGTTAACCTACATATGACCTATAAAAACTTAAGAGGACTTTGAACGCATCACACCTATATTAATTCAAATGACTAAAGCGGCGCGAGCACAACACAACAACGTGATTCAAAAAAAATGTTTGAAGTGAAAATTTAATTCTAAGATCAAAATGGGATGCACCAAAAGCACATTGGTACGATGTTAAGGCATGGCGCGGTGTGTTTCCATGAATTCGAAATTTTAATTATAAACAAAAACATGTGTTTAGTCAATAAGGGTTCAATTTTAGAAAGACTAAGGTGTTTTTCTATGTTAAGGAAAGGTGAAAACGAAGGCTATCATTATAAGCTTGTGTGGAACTATGTGCTCACAAGATCAATCAAGAAATGATCAAATTTAAAGTTAGACATGCTTAGACCTATCATGGTTTTGATAATAACAACTCATGAAGATGCAACTGACTTTAAAGACAAGAAACTGTTTATAGCTTATCGTTCGAATAAAGTCGAAAAGTTAAGGTTTAATGATAAACGTGATATACTCTGATGGTGGCGTCCAACTTGAAGATATCTCAAGTCTTATACAAGAAGGTTCAAACAAAATACTTATGTGATTGGTGTATTCGATAATTTTTTTGAAGCTTCAGTGTGAAAGAAAGAAAGTGTAGAAGATTGTCTGATCGTGTTTGAGTGATCACTGTTTTGTAAAAACACAAGGACATTTTCGTATAATAGCATGGCTTAATTACACACTCACTAAAAATATTTCTAAAGTCTCAATTTCTCAAATAAAATAACTTAAAAATGTTTTGAAGCTTAGCCAGATGAATTGAAAATCGTCGGAATGACTAAGATATGCTTTTTGAACAGCCCAATTGATTGTAGCATATTCCCAATTGATTAAATAACAGAAAAATAAGTTCATAATCGATTGTGATAATGTCTCTTTATCAAACCTTTCCAAAATGGTTGAAATAATCGATTATTTTTGTCATCTATTCGATTAGAATGAGAATCCAATCTATTGGACAATTAATTTACCCGTGAATAGTTTCCTTTCTTGAACCAATATTTGGATTGTAAATAAACACATCTCCATTCACTTTTATACATCCAGAAACGTGAGTCCTCTCTCTCTCTCACAAAACACACACACACAAAATATTTTTTTTTCTCTAGCGTAAATTTGGTCATATTGCTTTGAGAAAGATTCTTGTGTTTAGGTGAGAAAGTTTTTTTTAGAAAGGGTAAAATTTTAAATTCACCGAGAGTTATTTTTCCTCTTGAGAGATTCTCTTTTCTTTAGTAAATGATTGTTTGGGTTCAAAGATAAACCCGTTAAAAGCTTTGGTTATGAGATTTAGCATTAAGTGTCTATTTGGTTCGTGAGCCGAGTCGGTTAAGAAAAAGCTTTTTTTATGGGTTCTTGAAGAAAACAAGTGAAATATCTTCTTATCGGTTATTGGTCTCAACCCATCTAAAATCTCAGTTGTTATCAAAAGGTTTATTTTTTTAATGACTTATGAGAATTTAAATTAATGAATATATGATATTTATTTGTCAATTTAAGATTTTTATTAATATTAATATTTTTTGATGATGTTGATCAACTATAAAAAAAACTGTGAATTGTAAAACACCAAATCATAACTTATTATTTTTTAAAACACTAAATTAAGATAATTAAAACGTAAATATTGATTAAAATATTGAATAATAAAGGAAATAAGTTTAATATTGATTTAAATATTTTTTTTAAATAATACTAAACCTAAAATAATATTTATATATAAAAAGATATATATTATTAATTAAAATATTTTTATATACTGAAATAAATATTTGCACGGACTTATTATCGCTTTTTAAAATAATATACTTTTTTGATTAAAGACTTTTGTTGTTCTATTATTATAAATATTCAATAATTTAATGTAATATAAAATGGGATTTTGATAGTTATTAAAATATTTTTCATTTTCAAATACTTGTGTACTATGATTACAACTCAACAAATTTAATAAATTTAATAAGCATTTACTTTGCTTTAAATTATTATTATAAAAAAGTTTAAACAAATCTATTATTGATTTAAATACTTTTATAAATAAATTTAAATAAAAAATAATATTTATATATAAGAAAAAATATATTATTGATTAAAACATTTTTATATACGTAAGTAATTATAGGCACGTGTTTATTTTCTATTTTAAAAATAATAAAATTTTTTAGTTAAAAAATTTTGTCTATCTTTAATTATAAATATTCAATAATTTAATCTAATATGAAATTGGATTTTGTTGCTTATTAAAATATTTTTAATTTTAAAATATTTGTGTACAATGATTACAAGACAACAACTTTAATAGATTTTATGAAGATTTACTTTGCTTTAAATTATTATAATAAAAAAATCATGTTTTAATGAGTAATGAGGATTTAAATTACTTAATTTATGATATTTTTTTGTTAATAATTAATATTTTTAATGATGTTAACCAAATATATAAAAAAAATGAATTGTAAAACACAAAATTATAACTTATTTTTTCTTAAAACACTAAATTAAAATAATTATAATAGGAATATGATGTTATTGATTAAAATATTTTATAATAATGCACATTAATGCAACTTACCATTATATCTCTGCAATTATGCTATTATTTATAATTGTTTGAGAATGATATGATCCACAGTTATAAATAGGAACGAGAATTTCCAATAATACTATTAGAGAATACAATGGTTCACTTCTCTTCACTTGCAATAGTTTTTCTTTTATGCGTCGCATCTTCTCATGCAGTAAAAAATGTGGATTTTGACACAATTTGCAAGGGAACAGAAAATCCTTCATTTTGCTTAACTCTTCTGAATTCAAAACCCGGCACAAATCGAGATCTCGTCAGTCTTGCGCAATACACAATGGACGTATTATTAGTGAACACAACAAACACCATAAAACTAGTCAACATGCTATTATCAAAAAGTAGGGGTGATTATGAAGCAAGATATCATTATAGGACATGTTTAAGTCATTTTGTTGCAATTTCCGACACACTTAAGATGACTCCATTTTATATGGAAAGTGGAGAATACGATAATGTGCTTGAACATGCAGTTGGTGTTAGAATTGATGTTGATAATTGTATTTCAGGAGATTCACCTGGTGACCCTCATTATCCATACCATGATACATCCATGCTTCCAAAATATGCTAACATGGTCGATCAAGATGCTATGGTTTTTGCTGCTGTAGTACAGCATCTCAATAAACCTATTTAATTCCATAATATATTGTAATGAATAACTCCATATCATTCAAAAGGTATATTAATATTTCTTTTACAATAAAAGTTGTCATAATGTTTATTTAATTTACAATGAAATTCATTATTATTTTCAAAGTTGTCATAATGATTACTTTTATAACAGTAAAATGCATTAAAATAAAGGATATTATGTTGCTCGAATTTGGTAGGAAACAGTCAATTCTCTCTCAAATCAAGAAGCGACACTTCGTTCTGGTTGAAAAACGAGTGCATAAATAATAATTTGAATTTTTATTTCCCTAACTTGTTCCTTGTTAGAAGTAAGCAGGAGGAAATGGTGGAGAACATGGGAAGCTAGAACAACAGTGACTGGCAGTGGGGAGATTTAGGAATCACATGTTTGTTCGAGGATCACGTTCATACTGATTTGCAGGATCTGATTCTGGTTTTGGCCGAGTATATGCCAAAGAGAAATGCTAAAGATATAATTTAATGGAAATTGGATAGCTTGGAAAGGTACACTATCAAATTCAATTATGCTTTGATCTCTGTTGACAAGTTTGTAGAAGATCAAGAGGAAACTCATGAAGAAGCTTTTTCCAATCTTTGGAAAATTTATGTTCCCTTCAAAGTAAAGCTCTTGGATGGAGGATCTTTCAAAATAGACTCCTAAGTAAATATTAATTGAGAAAGAGAGATATTATCAATTCAATTCTTGAATTTTCCTGTGTTTTTTGTTTTCAAGAAGGGGAAAATTTGGACCACTTATTCTTTTATTGTCAAGTGGTTAAAAAAATTTTGTTGGAAATCAAGGTGTGGTTAGGAGTACCACCGGGGATTGAATGTATGGTTTAGAGGAGGTTTTTAAATTGGATCAATAACTTGAAGAGGAATAAATTTAAAGAAGGGAAGGAAGGAGTAGTATGGTTGGCAGTGATTTGGTTCGTGTAGAAGCTTAGGAATAACATTTTGTTTGACAGTTCAGTTTGTAATGTATTGGTATGACACATTTGCCTTGGTATGAATTAGGTGAAAGTGTTGTGTTTGGACCGGATATTATTTAGCATACAACTAAGAAGATCAAGATGATTCAAGAGAAGATGAAAGTTTAATAGAGTAGACAGAAAAGTTATCACGATAAGCGTAGAAAGACATTTGAATTCCAACAAGGAGATCACGTGTTCTTGAGAGTCACTCTGCTGACACGTGTTGGTCGTGCGTTGAAGTCTTGAAAGCTCACGCCATATTTTATTGGTCCATATTGGATCCTGTATAGAGTCAGACATGTGGCCTATAGAGTTACCTTACCACCGTCTCTTTCGAATCTTCATGATGTCTTTCATGTGTCTCAACTTTGAAATTATATTCTGATATATCCCATGTGATCCAATTGGATGATGTACAAGTGAGATAGAACTTGATTGTTGAGGCATCACGATTGTGGATTAAGAATCGAGAAGCAAAACACTTTAGAGGTAAAAAAAAAATAGATTTGGGGAAGCGTGATATGTGAACTAGAGAGTTGGACGAGAGAGTCATATCCTGAGCTGTTTTCTTCAAATAAATTTTGAGGACGGAAATTTTTTAAGTGGGAGAGAGTTATAGCACTCTGATTTTTAAATTATTTTATTTTGATTGAGTTTTAAATGTTTAAATGATTTATTAGAGTGCTTTATTGATTTTTATGAAATTATTTGAGGTTGGGTAGATTTTATAGGATTTATCTATAATTTTTAATTAATTAAAATAATAGAAATATAGAGAAATTATGAGATATTGAGACATAATTATGAGATATTGAGACATGGGTGGAAAATATTATAATTGTAGATTTGGTGTGGTAATGAAAGATTTGTCAAGAATTTGAAGGGGGAAATAGAAATAATGATAATTAAAAAGCTAGGTTTTTATTTAATAGAAAAATAGGGAGAGAATATGGAAAGTACGTGAAAAGTTTGGAAGAATAGGAGTTTGAGAGAAAATAACAAAACCTATCTAGAAGAGGATTCCAAGCAAAAGTTCAATTATTTTTTTGCAAATCTGAGGTAAAGGAAAAATTATTCATATATGGGTGTGATTTTCATAAAGGATAGAGAGAGATCATAACTCTCTTCTTTGTTCTTGTTCCCATCTTCCAATGATGAGGTTTTGGATCCTTGAGATGGTTGTACAAACCTCTCTAGATCATTGTGTTGGGATTTTGCATCTATGTTGTATTGGTTACTGAAATTTTCATGAAATTATGCGTGAAATTTGGAATGGTGTGTTCATGTAGAGGTATTTTGAGGTGATAAACATATTGATGATTTTCATGATAAATCGATGTTAATGTGTAATCGGTGCAAATTTGGTATGTTAAATGTTCTATGTATGTTGCATGTTGAGTTTCTTAATGTATTGGATTTTCTAGAATCGAAATCGGAGCTTTGGAGGGGCTTCTATGATGGAAATCATCGATTCTACAATATGCACAACGGTGACGAATATCACCTGTGTGATGGGAAATCAACAATGCGTTAGAGAGAGTTGACGAACATCAGTATGGCGATGGGCGCCCGTTATGGTCTATGAGACGAGCTTCTTTCCCAGGCGTCAACATAATGACGGATTTGTGAAGGGGAGAGGTAAAGGACAATCATGATGGGTGTTTTGACACTCAACCCTTTAGTTATATGGTTTTGGGTTGTCAGCTCGATTTTGTTTGAGCAGTTTTCGACGACGATTGTTTACTGTTGTTTGGTGAGTTCTGTGAGTTGAGTCGATATGTTTGTGTGTGAAGAATAAAATGAGTGATGTGTTGAGTTATCTAACATGTTTTGAGCTGAGTCAACGGGCAATTGTGTTGAGGTTAGGGTATGCCTCGTGACTCTAAAATTCTCGAATAAAAAACGAAAGAGTTGAGTTATTAGCTGACTCAGTTGAGTGTTAATTGTGTAATTGTCTTTGTTGGTGAGTATTGTTTACTAATGAGATGATTATGTATGTTGTGTTGAATTATCATTATATGGTGTGTTGAATTATGGTAAGATATGTGGTTCTGAAAGGAACTATTAGTAATGATTTATTGCATTTACATTGTTGTAGCATTTCATGCATCATGATGATTAAGGGTGTTATTCTTTACTATATTATGCATCGTTAATATTTTTGAATGTATTCTCACTGGTTATTTTGGTTGTAGTGTTATATACACTTGTGTACAGATACACAGGTAGAGGAACACTAGTTGTTGTTAAACTGAAAAATAACATAGAAGTTTTCATTATTTTACTATTTTTCGAGTTGTTTTGTTTCATGAGTGTTACTCTAATATATAACATAGAGATCAATTATTTGTTTCCGATTTTTTTTCTGAGTTTTGGAACCAATTATTTTAATGAAGTTAATTTATAAATTTTGAGACATTTTAAGTTAAATTTTGTTGAGATACATGCATATCGAGAATTTGTAACACTTTATTTGAGTTAATTATTCACGTTATTTTATAAATAAGTATTTGGAGATTAGGGTCTTAAAACTATCTCATGCATCGCACAGAAAAACGTCTAATATCCTAATGATTATGTAATAGTGATTTTAACTTCAACAAATAAATATGTTCTAATATTATGCAATGTCAATAAAGTGTTACAGTAATATGGGCAGATGCATTCTTTAGATTAGTCTAACAATTTTATACAAATTAAAAAACAAATTAAACATATAAGAACAAATTATTTTTTTGGTTTAGTAATTTAATGGCTAAAAATTCATCCCTTAAAAAAATACTGAAATGTCGCGGATTCGAATTCCCGTATAATCTTACATTTCTGTCCACTATCAATTGAACTGATATAACGAAATATAACCATGAGTATTCAAAAAGACATTTTAAGAAGTTAAAAAATTGTGTATTTAATAAATTAAAAATTATATCATTAGACTTTGTTTAAATTTATTTATTTGTAATATTTAAATAGTGCACACCAAGATCCAAATTTAAAATTATTAAAAAAAAAAAAAGACAAATTAAAATCAAACCTTGTACAAAACTTGGATAGTTGTTCCTTTATACTATTTTGATGCCTCGTATACAATATGAAGATTAATCTTTGAATGTTAAACCATATGAATGTGGCTTCTAATCTCCATCCAAAGGTGCAGGTGCAATCTTAGTGCTACTTTGGATTATATAAATCATACCACAACCAGAAAATACAGCAAAAACAACAAAAGCAAAAGCAAATATTACAAATAAAGAAATTCCAAATCCTGCCCACAACACATCTTGATTTTTTCTTGTTGGTTTATCTGTCACTTCTCCAAATTCCAATACAAAATGGATCACTAATATGAAGCAAAAACAAACCATAACTACACTAAAGAAAAGTGAAAGTGCAAGAATTGCTATTTTTTCTTTTCCATTTAACAATGATGAATCCTACGGGTTTCTGGTTCTAGGTTTGGAACCTGCAGATGATGATCTTTCCACGTTTGTATTTCTAAACTCTTCTTCTTCTTTGTCACCTTTGATGATAATGATGATGAAAACCCTTTGGGGTTTTTCTCTGAATCGCGCTTTCTCCCCTTGGGGGTTTACGACCGCCATTTTGGTTTTGCTTTAGTTTTTTTCTGATGATTTATATGGATTTTTCTTCTTTGATGGGCCTGGGTTCTGTGCGAACTTGATCCTTCCGATTTGTGATCTTAACTGGCAGGATTTTCGGAGATTTGGTTGCTTTGATTTCTTTGGGCTTGGGCGATTTTATGATGTTGTTATGAGTTTTCACGATTTGTTGCTTATGTTTTTGACCGGGTTTCGTTTGTTGTGATTTCCTCAAGATTTTCGGTTTGATTGTGCGTTACAGATCTTCCGATCTTGTTGTTGTTGCTACGTTTTTGATAGCTGGAATTTTGGAAAAAGTTATTGACATTTTTATGGCCGGTTGATTTTGATCTGTTGGGGTTCTGAATCTTTGAGAAATGTTGTTAAGGTCCAGTTTGGCAAAACCACTTTTTCCAAATAAGTGCTTT